AAGATGGCTTCCAGAATCTACAGAGAGGGAGAAACCATCTTTTTTCACTTGAAAAAAGTATTTTTTAGGTAAAATTCACATAACACAAAGTTAGCCATTAACTGTTTTAAAGTGTACAATCCCACAGCATTTAGTACATCCACAATGTTGTGCGGCCATCACCTCTCTCTAGTTCTAAGACATTTCTATTACCCCCAAAGGAACCCTGCACCCAGAGTAGTCATTTGGACCTCTTATTTACATTTACTCTCTAATTTCTCTCTGGCAAAGAATAAAAGAAATCTGGGTTTAAATGACAGCATAATGATTTGATATGCTTTCATTTCTTCTGTAACTTTTTTGATTCACAAAAAAACCAGCATGCACAGGTCTGAACCTGAAATGATGCTAGTCTTAACAAAATGAAACCAGGATTGGTTGTCCTAGAAGCAACCCCAAAAAGGGGGCTGAGGTAGATCTCAAAATAATTTACAGTTCTATCCAAGACAAATCCTTGTCAGAAACCCAGATTGTACCTCCATGACTGATAGTGCTCAATCTATTGGGATTAAAAAAAAGATATTGAAAGAGAATTCCTTATACTTCAACAAGGAAAATTCAGAAGATAGGGAACAATTAAGCACATTTAATAAAAAGGGGAGGGGGAAAAGTGCCAGCTCCTGAAAGTCAAGTACCTGTTCTGGGGAAGCTAAGTTATTATTCTTTCAAGAACACTTATAGCCTTCTTTGTCCCAGTGGTTTAGAGAAACATAAAATAAGAGACCCCAGGACCTTCAGTATTCCCGTTTTCTCACTCTGTCTTGTTATGGTTAACACAGTGCAGTGTCTTATGGAAGCAGGGAGGAAAGACTGAGCAAGAGTCTTTACCCAGATGCAGCTACTTGGATGAGGGCAAGTAGCTCACACTCTACAGCTGGAAAGTCAGGAAGCATCAAGAGCTGGGTGAGACTCCAGCACATGGTCCACTCCAATCCCTTCCCCTCAGGCACTCAAGAGAGTCTTCCTAATACTTCTCTATTTCTGAACAGTCTATGCTATCTGTCAGGTGGGAAAGTCCAACTTTGTCATACAATAGACAGGATTCAAACTAAGAGAGCCCTGGGTTGTTTAGGGAAACTTGGGTTTTATCATTTCCATACATGCTGACGTGCTGAAAAAGAAGCAGTGAGGCACTGTGGTCACTTCAGTAACAAAGTTTTTAAAGATGGGCTCATCAGAGGCATCTTGTAAGAGGGTGCTGGTAACACTGGGGAACTGAAAGGGAATGCCATGAAATGTAACACCTCTTAAATGTCACAGGTTCTTCTTAGTTCTGAATCTGAGAGTTGTTGTTGTTGCTGTTTTTAAGTTGGTTTGAGCAAACATGCTAAGGTGAATACAGATTTTCCAAGAGTTAGACTTGCTCCTCTCTTCACCCCAAACCCTGGGGGTTGTTGTCATTATTTAATGTAATCAAAATTTCTATTCGGGGGCACCTTTATTTGGGGGCATCAGTCAGTGGAGCGTGCAACTCTTGATCTCAGGGTTATGAGTCTGAGCCCCACGTTGGGTAGAGAAATTACTTAAAAATAAAATCTTTAAAAAATGTTTCTATTTTAGTAATTCATTGACATGACAGCTACTTTCCACTAGAGCCATTTGTTAGACAGATGGTGGGGGGACCAACTGTCCTGATTTTCCCAAGACTGGTCCAGTTTTAGCATCAAAAGTTCTATGTCCCAGGAAACCCCCAGTCTTAGACAAATCAGGGTGCTTTGTTACCCGATTGCTAGCCCTAGGTTTGGTCTTCAGATCTGCACTGCTGAAGCGTCTAGAAGTAAATAGAGGGGGGGCCTGCTACAAAAAGTAGCTGAAAAAATTTAAAATCTCCAACAAAAATTTCCAGCTACATTGTCCTCCAGAGAGAATTTTCAAAAAATAAGCCAGTGGTTCATTTCACTCAGTAGGCAAAAAATGGTTTCTTACTTTGTGGGGATGACCTACCTGATGGATGATGGAAATTAAACCATACTTAGAAATTAGCTATAAGAAATACCTCTACAGTGAGGTTTTAAAATATTGTTATTTTTCCTCCAATTTCCACATTTTAGAGCCTAATAAATATAGCATAATATGACACACAGACATAACAGCATAAAATAAAAATCTCACATGTCTTTGGTACTATTCAAAGACCTTGGAACTTACACACCGTGGGCAAACTCCCCAAAGCTGGAGGAACTCCAAAAATAGCACACCCTCCAGGGGCCACACCCATAGTACCAAAAGGTCTGGCCAAGAAAGGAGCTGTGGGACGTCAACCTGTCCACTGGAGCCAATGACAAATACTCCAAGAAAACCCAAAGGCTTTAGGGCTTGTATCTATAACACAGGATTTCCAGAATCAAGACAAGAACTTGCTTCAGCAATTCAGGAACCCTAACTCCTGCTCAACCCTACACAGTGGAATGTTAGATAATCCTACCTCTGCTACCTGACGCCTTTCCACTTTTCTGAACAGCTAATCTCTTTTACTTTGCAGTAGGCAGAATAATAGCCTCCAAAGAGGTCCACGTCCTAACCTCTGGAACCTGTGAATATGTAACCTTACAAGTAAAAAAGGGACTTTAAATTAAGGACCTTCAGAGGGAGAGAGTATCCTGGATTAGCCAGTGGGCCAAATCTTATCACAGGGGTCCTTAAATCAAAGAAGCTTTTCTATCTGAGTTCAGAGTTAAGAGATACAGAAGGCAAACAGAGATGCAATGTTATAGGCTTTGAAGATAGAGAATTCTCTAGAATTCTCTCCTAGAGCCTCCAGAAAGGAAGGTGCCTCTGTCAGTACTTTGCTTTTGGCCCAGTGAGATCCCTACAGAACTTAACCTGCAAAACTGTAATAAATTTGTATTGTTTTAAGCCACTGAGTTTGTGATAATTTGTTACAACAGCAAACAGGAAACGAAATATATCCTTCATCATTGCTGCGCTTTCAATTTGCATGCTGCCTTGGTAGTATTTTGCTTTAAACCCCAATATTTGACCATTTCTTACCCAATGTTTAATTTGCTTCTCTGTATAGACTAAAAAAAAAAAACAGATTTGGTCCTAGAGCACATATGCTCAAAATCCCTCCAACAGTGCAAAACACTATTTTGCTTTACATATCTACTTGGTTTAGTTTCTTTTCTTTAGTTTGTTAGCACAGGGACCACTTACATAAGGAACCACTGAGCATACGTGAAATCAATCATTTTGCATGAGGCAAAAATGCTTGCGAGAATGATAAGTGACAAATAATCGCTCTACCATTGTGTGCAAAGACACAGTAGTTCCCAGTGTCTTCCTAGGGTTCTCTGGATATCACAGTGACTGGAAGATGCCACCGGCCTTTTGTGAGCCAAGGACAGGAACACCAAAAAGGACAATGAAGAACTGTCCCATTCAACATGCCAGCAACTCCCATTGAGAAACTCTGCCTGGATTGATTTGAAGCATTTAAGTACATGCATTAACACGAAAGAAATCAACACAAACATCAGATAGAGAACATCAAATACTTATAAGAGAGTCTTCATTATCAACAATACAGTAGTCCCTGCCTTATCCGTCATTTTGCTTTCCACGGTCCCGGTGGTGCTTGGTCAACCACAAATATCCCCCACAAATAAGGGGGGGGGGCTACTGTATTTGACACAGTGTAGGGATGGCTCAGTACTCTCTTGCAAGATATTAAGTACTTAAATCCAAAAGAACCTCACTATGAGGTAGCAAAAGCTATATATGGTCTTAAAAGCATACCTACACAGGCCTTTCTTCTAATAAGCTCTTGGTTAGAGATTCTTATCCTAAGTTTCTAATACTAGAAAATACTAAATATTTGCTGAATAAATAAATGGATGAAAGACCAGCTCCAGGAAACTGTCAGTATTTTTTATTAGCACTTTTCTGTAACCACTAAATACTTATGTAAATAAATAATTAAAAATCCAACAACCGAATTCAAGCCACTGACATAAAATCCAATGGGCAACGAAGAGAATAGGAGGGAGGATAAAGGAAACAATATCGGCCATGAATTGAAAGTTATGGAAACTGAGTGGTGAGGATATGGAAGTTCATTATATTATTCTATACTGGAATATGCCTGAAATTTTTCCTAATGAGGTTAAATTTTAAAATAGGGGAAAGGGGCACTTGGGTGGCTCAGTTGGTTAAGTGTCAGACTCTTGGTTTCAGCTAAGGTCATCATCTCTCAGTTTGTGGGTTTGAGCCCTGCATCAGGCTCTGTGCTGACAGTGCAAAGCCTGCTTAGGATTCTCTCACCCTCTCTCTCTGCCCCTACTCTGCTCTCTCTCTTTCTGTCTCTCTCTCAAAATAAATAAATAAACTTAAAATAGGGGAAAAAATCCAAGTTGCTGACTGTTGGTTGGGGCCGACAAACACATTATCACCTGTCTCAGCAGTATGGTGACCTTTCAAGTCTACAACCAGAATCAAATGGCTTTAGCTACTTTCAAAAGCCAAGTTAGCTTCTTTAAGAAGAAACCCCTACAGCATCAGATTGACCTTTCGTTATTATTGTTTGTTGCTGCTGGAAAAAAGCCCTTACAACGTCTACAACCAATCTGTTAAGAACAGGGCTTACCCTTCTCTGATCTAATCTACTGTGACGTCTGTCTTGCACAGGGTATGTCTTCAATAGCTGCAACCGATTAATCATGTATAGTGCCATAGGAATACATTTTAAGGCTATGACCTCAAGGCTCTCCAACTCAGGTTTTTAGAAGAGAATAAGAAAATCTGGGTGAAAAATCTGATTTTAACTATCATCAAGGATAACCAGGCTTGCCTTAAATCCTGAAATCATGTTAATTTTACTAAAGCCTCTATGGATATTTCTTTTTGATAAACATCACACGTCAAATGCAATCATCTACAGGATCAGTTAAGATACTCTTTTTGGCTTAAAGTTCTGGTTAGATTCAAGAAAATCCTAGGAGAAAGTATTTTATAATTCTTACCTCTTGAGTTCCCAAAGCCTGAGGCTCACTGGCAGATCTGCGCTGTTGAGAAAGCAGAGAGGAAAATGTATTTTTTTTTTATAAAAAGGAAAAATAACATGATACGTAAGAGCTGAACAGGCAAATAGGTGTTTCTGTAACTAGGGTTTGGTGGTAATGGCTGGATAGCTCTCAGGGCAGAGGCTCTCACAGGTTTACATTTCTGAACCAAGAAACAAATATTTTGTTAACTCTTTTTCTTTTAAGAAGCAGATGTGAAATAAGAGTCTCTTTCTTTGTGAACTTCCCTGGCCTGCAAGAAAACATGAAAATACAAAGTCAGCTTGGGAACTTGAGGAAAGCAGACTTCTTGGTGACAGAGATGACTAAGAACAAGTCTTTCTCTTGACCTCACCCAATCTGCTCCCAACGGACCAAAGCGGCAGAGGCAGGAAAGGTTCTTGCTTTAGGTGTCCTGGACAGAGCTGAAGCTCCATT